ACATATAAGTAAGTTTATAGTGTGATTAGTTATTTGTAAATAACACTAAAGAGATTAAATATTATATATAGCATTTATCAGAAAATTCAGTATTTCCGTTGGGGTTAGCCCACATATTTCAAGAAAAATAAGAAAAAAATGAAATTTTTGTTTTATTGCATAGCTACATCATGCACTGACATAGTATGAATATTAAAGAGGTTTAAGGCTTTAGATGTTTTTGTTTCTCTAAAAAATAGAGTTTTATAGGGGTTAGTTAACTTAATAGATGGTATATGAAGTTTAAATAAATTACTTAATAAAAAATTAGAAATTATGCTCATCTACCATGAAAATAAGTTTACCATGCATATAAATACGTTTTGGTGTGAATATTTAATTGTAAATAACACTCAAGATATTAAATATTACATATAGCATTTATTAGAAAATTCAGTATTTTCGTAGGTGTTAGCCCACATATTTCAAGAAAAATAAGAAAATATGAAGAAAAAAAATTTATTGCGTAGCTACATCATGCATTGACATAGTATGAATATTAAAGAGGTTTAAGACCCTAGATGTTTTCATTTCTCTAGAAAATAGAGTTTTTATAGGGGTTAGTCTACTTAATAGATGGTATATGAAATTTAAATAAATTACTTAATAAAAAATTAGAAATGATGCCCATCTACCATGAAAATAAATTTATCATACATACAAATACGTTTTGGTGTGAATATTTAATTGTAAATAACACTAAAAGATTAAATATTATAGATAGCATATATATAAGAAAATTCAGTATTTTCGTAGGGGTTAACCCACATATTTCAAGAAAAATAAGAAAATATGAAATTTTTGTTTTATTGCATAGCTATATCATGCACTGATATAGTCTGAATATTATAGAGGTTTAAGACCTTAAATGTTTTCATTTCTCTAGAAAATAGAATTTTTATAGGGGTTAGTCTACTTAATTGATGGTATATGAAGTTTAAATAAATTACTTAATAAAAAATTAGAAATGATGTCCATCTACCATGAAAATAAATTTACCATACATATAAATACGTTTTGGTGTGAATATTTAATTGTAAATAACACTAAAGATATTAAATATTACATATAGCATTTATTAGAAAATTCAGTATTTTTATAGGGAGCCCACATATTTCAAGAAAAAAAAGAAAATAAGAAAATTTTGTTTTATTGCATAGCTACATCATGCACTGACATAGTATGAATATTAAAGAGATTTAAACCTTAGATATTCTATTTTTTAGAAAATAGAGATTTTATATGGGTTATTCCATTTATGTTTGTAATTATAAATACATTATATCACTTTTCTCAGCACTCTTATCATACTTGTATACGTTTTAGAGCGATACATTTATTGGGGCGGCGATGAATGATCACCGAGCAGAGGGGTTGGCTTGACGCCGCAGTATAAGTGGAGAAGATGTTCGCTGGATTTCTTCATGGAGCTGATGAACGACTCGTAGAAGCGGAGGAGACCATCGTGCTCGAAAGGGTTGTAGCGGAGAGGATGCTGGTCATCGACAAGCTCCTCAGGCGTACGGATGGTCCCTTTGTGGAAGGAGAAAAAACCTAAAGAGTATCTAACTTCATCTGCGCTCATCACCACCCTGTGGTAACACGGCTTTATCCTATCGTTACTCCACGCCTTTACCAAGAAAATAATCAAATCAAATGATAAATGAAAATCATCATCATTTGCTGTATATAGTTTTCACTAGACTTTACCGTGAGACCCATGCCGGAGAGAACGACGAATCTTGTTGGCGACGGGTTAAATCCGACCCATTGATCGGTCATGGTTTTCAGCTGGAGGCCTACGACGTGGTTCTGGTGGAGTATACTCATGAAGCTCTTATCAGTATGCGATACGAAACCCGTGTTTGCTTCACCGTTTCTCTGTCTTCTGTAACTCAGCATCCTCAACAGGTACCTAGTTGACTCGGAATGATTTGCTGTGTGCTTCTTCTCGTCCATTCCATAGCTCTCGTACAACATCCTCATCACTGTCTGGTCTAGCTCCGCTAATGCCATTGCGTACTTATGTGTGGCCTGACTGCAAAAAAAAAACAAACATTTGGTCTTAGATAACAGAAATGGAATGATGAACTTAAATTCTTTTACCAGAAGAGATCGTTTCCTTGTGGCCAAAGTAGTTTAGAGAAATCTTTGCAAGCTTGGGGATCTGTTGCATAATCAATCCCCAAACTCTCGTGGATCGTGTAATCGTCAACGACCATAGACATGTAGCCATGAGAGGCCTTGTGGTTCTCGTTTTTGATCTTGACCTCGTACGGCAGCTCATACATATCCTTTATGCCGGAGAGCAAGTCGTCCCTGAGGTCTGATGAGACGCCATTGAACTCTGCCACAAACCAACCCTGCTCCTCCATAGCTCTTCGCACGCTGTCACTTATCGTAATCCAGTGGCTCGTGCCTGGTATAAGTTTATCGCGGGAGAAGTCGAGGATTGGTAAGCACTGCTCTTCATGTGAGTCCATTGGAGCGTCTTTAAGTGATGATGAGTTTAAAGATTACATACATGATACCAACGACCTATTTATACGTATACGTTCACCAAACAAATGCATTCATAGTAGACGATCCTTTAACAGAAGAGACAATCGTTAAGAGGGATCCGGTTTTGGCTTCTTCTAAGCGTCATCAGTAGCTTTCTTCAGTTTAATGTTTTGCCAACAATCCCAAGTCACTAATTATACGCATTATTTTATAGTACAGGTTAATCTTGGTCACAAAAGACAAGTTTTCCGGATTTACGACACAGCCCTTGTTCACCAACAGAGTTGACAACCTTACCATAACTATACAACAGTGGCATCTTCCCCATAACTCTATGAAACTCCATAATGCATTTCCCTCTTCTCTTCCTGTGTTCCACTCTTCTACTGCTCAACCCAACTTCTCTCACCCCACCATTCTCCACTTGCTCTTCCTCGTTACGTGCATCTCCCCAGTCCCTAACTCTCTCTGCTCCCACCATGATAGGACCTGCTCTCAGCTTGTCTGCAGCTACAAAATTCATGAGTATATCCTCGCAGTTACGCATCTGGTCAACGATCTTCCTCATCTCCTCCATCTCCACACCACCGTTGCAGCTATAATCAAACAGATAATCTTGTTTCATCATCATGAACTTTGTGAGGACGATGGAGTACATGTCTGGGTGGACAGTGTAGATCCACTCTTTCCCCTGCAAGTCAAAACCGTGCGATCTCACAAACATTCCTATTAAACGATCAGGGTTTGACTTCCACACGGAAAACGCAAACTCCAGCGACTTCTTGTCTACCTCCACGTCATCATCGCAAATCAAAACAGCGCGAGTGTCTACAGAAGGACGGGGGAGGAACCTGGCGTTGAGGCTGCTCGATGGTTGCTGGATCAGAGATATCGAAGCTGTACCAAGCGAGTAGCGGGTGAGATTGTGGTATAACTGGTCAAGGAGTTGAGCAGGTGTGGTAGGGTTTCCCCAGAGGAGTAAGATTGATGAGACGATCGAGGATCCTGAATACGCGGCTACGATTGATTGCAAAAGAGGAATACGGGATTCAGAGTAACCGTTGATTAGGACTGTGATCTGATCCGATCTGAGTTTCTCAAACTCTCTTAGTTTAGTTGGATCGCACGGATCCGGATCCGGATCCGAGGAGATCGTGCGAGAAGACACGAGTGGCGTAACAGAGAGCACAAACAAGAGAAGAAACCAGATGGAGCCATTGCTGGTAGCAACCTTCTTCACTGATTCTTTTACTCCCATATCTCATCAGCCTCCTACTGTCTGAGACAGTCAGTGAAAAAATATTACCACGGGAGAGTCAGAAGGGAGTGGTGGTGGTGGTTGTATTCCGGCATCGACGTGTGGACATCCGGTTAAGTACTTGATCTGTTAAGCTTCCGCTCAGAGTCAAACTAACGGCGAAATATAATAATAATGGATTACAAAACACGAGAAGCTAGTTATTATTATAAACAAAAACAAATATGGGCTTTTTGATTGGCGTGAATGTTAAAATAATAAAATAGGCTTTTAATTTACAAACCCATAAATGATTTAATTAGGCTCAAATGAATGTAGTGTATAGCCCAACAGAATCTATTAGCCAGTCAAAGCCCAAAATTTTGAAAAGAAAAAGGAATATACATAGACATTTACCAACGTGAAGCTAAAGTTAAATCTTAAGAAAATGGAATGAGCTTTAAATTTACAAAGCCGTAAATGAATGTACTAAACCCAAATAAAGCTCAAAAGACTGGTACGAGGATGAGAACAATGAATATTAACATTTACTCGCCCAGCTAAAACTCAAAATGTATTGAAAGAAACGTTATGGTAAGAGAGAGTGTAGGAGAGGAGACTATAAAACATTTAACTAAAAGCAACCTCAATGGTTAGTATCTTCAAATTGAATCTCAAGTACAAAATAATATTATCTTCATTATATATTTGTAAGACACATTTTATTTTTTTATTTTATTTTTTTGTTCAACATAAATTTCATTAAGGATAAAGGATAATGGGTTTATCAGGTCCTAAAGTTTACACTCAAATGAAAAAACAATTGGGCTTCAGCCACTAGATCCGCAGGCCCATTGACCAAACGGGAAACGTAAACAACATTGCAGGAGAATTAACAGAGAAGATAAGGGAGATAAGAGAGTTGATGTCTGATAGTATTCCAAAGAGTTTCATTGTCAAAGTTCTCATGTTGATCGCTTGAACAAACACTTGAAAGTCTCTTCTGAAACAGATATGAGTGAGTTGGAGAGAGGCTACGTGAAAGAAAGCGCCCTGGATTGCTAGGGCTTCGGCCATGCAAGGAGAGGATACATGATCTTGGGCTGAGGAAGATCGATTCAACTCAACATTAGTATGATCGGAGAAGATCCAAGCAAGATCCGATCAGGCGGCATCGGTATTATAATTTTTATTTTATTTAAAAGGATGAAACCAATTATATATTGGCATATGGTTCATTTTAGAGAATACATGGTTCAAACATTTTTAGAGAATATCTAAAAAGTTTTTTTTTCTTTCTGTGATATATCTCTTGAGAACTCTACCATTGGAGTTGATCTAACAATAATAGGTGAGTTAGTTAGGTTAGGCTTATATACTCTATAGCTAGAGTGCTAGACACTCAGTGTGTCAAAGAGCCAGCGCACTTCTACCCGACAAGACATGTGTGGGGTTAAATGACAAACCATATAACAAGTTGGTCGTTTATTTTTAGCCAAAGTCATAGGTACACAACTGTAACTGTTAAATTAGTTTCCCAGCTTCCAAGAAACTAACATGCATCAATTCAATTGTACTATTAATTAAGAAAACACGAGTTGACTGAATCCTCTGCCTCGGATCCCTTTTTTTTTCCCTTCGGATCCTATTGCAAATAGCAACATAAACAAATTACAAAAACAAAAAAGATATTAGTTAACCTTTAGCCGAAAAGAGAGGGAGGGAGATCTAGTTCAATTATTTGTTATAGATAGGTTAAAAGAAAACCAGATGAAATAGTGAAATTGGGGAAGGGGATGCATGAAAGTGAGTTAAAATGGTGGGGAAAGGTTTGTACCTCGGGCAGCTTTAGATGCTGCAGCAGGAATGGCCCACGTGAGCTGCTGAAAGTGTGAAAGTTCATCAGAACTATATGAGAGCAAAAAGCAAAGAAAGAAAGAAAACTAGTGGATTTGGGGTTTAGGGACCCATGCACGTGATTTTCGCTCTTTTCAGTTGCTGCTGCTAGGGGTTGCCTTTTTTAACACTTTGCATCTTATATTGTCTTTTGAAAATAATTCCAATTTACTAGCTACCCCGTGATCACTGATCAGTCTAATATGCATCGATTTCACAAATCAAAACTAAGTGGATCGAAGAATAATGTAACATTGTATAGTTTTAATGTATGACCTATGCTTAGATAAAAGGATTTCGGGAAATATACAATTCTCCTTGTTTCGAATGAAGACTAAGTACTGAGTTTGAATGAATATGATTATAAGTTCCGTCGACAGACCGAGTTTAACTTCAGAGATATAAGTGTTAGCATTTTATAGGTTAGTTTTGAGAGTGTATTTGATCCATAAGTGGAGAAATGTTTATACAAATGCATTAGTAAATGAAGTTAGGATGAGAGGAAAAGTATTTTCCAACGTAAATTGAATACGGTAGGATAGAATTGCTTTTCATTATAACGTTTCTAGTGACCAAAACTTGATTTAAACATATGAGCAGTTTATAATTTTTTTTATATTGAAAATAAGGAGGTACACTGATTGGGAGAAAAGAGTATAAATGTAGGGACTGTTTGTGTAAGTAAAATGGTTCCCGACAAGAATCTTCAAAACAACACGAAATCCAAGTTTGAAAGTTAACGGTCACCAAAATAAAATACTAAAAAACTAAAGAATAAAAACAACCTCGTGTCTCCCACTATCCGTTGCGTTGTCTTCTGAAGTCACCAAAAACAAATGGGTTTTGTTTAACTACTCCTAATTTGGCAACGCTTTGGAATAGTTAGCAGTGATGATTTTGTTGAACTCAGTGCTAATGTTGTATTCGCAGGTGCAGCTCATTGTTACACATAACATTAAAAAATTTGGTTTCGTAAGCGGACTATTATGGGGAAGGATGTTTGTAAGAAGTGCAAAAGGCATGTGGGGTATAGGCTTCACTTTTATTAACTGGAATATAGTCTTAAATTGGGTTTTCTGATATGAACTGAAAAATGACCGTAAACCAAAAGTGAATTCTTATAAATAAAAAAGTATATTAAAAAAAAAGGGTTGTGAGAAAATAGGAGCAGAAAAAGGGGGGAGGGAGAGGAGGTTTTTCCTTATTTTCTACAGACAACCTTTTTTCCTAATAATCTCCTTATTTTCAATTTTGTCGCTGTTGGTTCCTGCGATTCTGAGCTTTGATCCTTTTGTATCAGAATCGTAGTAGCAGCAATGGCTTTTTGATTCCTTTATTTTCCTTTGGTTTTCTCGCCGCCGGCAGATGGCCAAGTCGCCACCGAAGTTGGTGGATTGTTGGTCGTCTCGGTTTTTTATCTCCAGGGTCACAAGGATCTGATTTGAATCCAATTGAAAGGGGGTGAGAAATGGGGAAAATGGTAGAGAAAATGGGAAGATGCATAAAGACGGTGTTTTTCATGGTAGCCATGTTGGTTTCCCTCTTAGTCTCCTCCTTGCCTGTCCTTGTTTCCATCGTCGACGTCTTTGTTCCCACCTTTCTTCTCTCCAGCTTTACTTGTTTGACTTGTTACAGCTTCAACGACCATCTCACCCGATACAGCTTCAAGACCTCTCTCACTGATATTCCCTTTGTCTCCCTCCTCAGATCTTTCCTCGTCATCTGTATGCTTTGAGAATTTAATTTTTTTGAGTTTCTCTTTTGATGAATCTCAACCTAATGCTTCTTCTTCTTTTTTTTTTTTCTAAAAAATGAACAGGTGTGTATTCACTATCCGACGGACCTGCACTTTCGCACGGACCTTACCTCGGAACTGTGTCCTTGTGTTCTCTTGTCTCTATTGTCCTTCTTTCAGTTAAAGCTTGCATTTTCACTGCTAATTCTCAACTTACCTCCGAATCATCCATCTCTCCGTCAAGGCAACGTCTCCATCTCAAGAAGTCTTGGGGAATGCCCGTTTTGTTCCTTTCTTCTGTCGTCTTTGCTCTTGGTCATACCGTTGTTGCCTATAGAACTAGCTGCAGAGCTAGGAGGAAACTCTTGTTCCACAGAGTCGACCCTGAAGCTGTGAGCTTTTACCAAATATCACCTCTTCATTTTTTTTTATTTTTTTTGGTTTTAACTAAAACATCTCATTGACTGACTGTGTTGCAGGTTCTTTCTTGTAAAGGTGTCTTCTCCAGTTACCAGAAAGTCCCACGCTCTCCCATTCCCTTGGTACGCAAGCCCTCCAAGACTGATGGCGAGGTCAGACGAAAACTTCTTCCTTCATCAACATCCCATGATGGCGAGCTTCCAGTGAGAGTGCTTTCTGATCTTGACAGCTTGTTCGTTACAGTCACTGGCCTCTCTGTGCATTACAAGCTCTGCACACCTGCCTCTCCCGAAGCTAATTCTATGCTCAATGTGCCAGAGGCAATGGCTGGAAGGTTGAAGCTTGACAGGAAACTATTGAGCATGGTCACTAGAAACAAGCTTAATCATCATCACCATAAAAGCTGCAGCAGCCTCTTCAACAATTCTTCTTCTTCCTTGCATGACCCTCTCCTTGAGGCTTCTCCTACTTCCCCTCTTCTTTTCAAAGACACTCAGGAAGAAGCTTGTCGAGAAGATGATATGAATGCCTCCAGTTGTGGTGCAACGGAGCTACAAGATCCCTCAGATGGAAGCGGTCTATTTGGTGTAGTGCTTGTTCATGGGTTTGGAGGTGGAGTGTTTTCTTGGAGAAATGTGATAGGTTCTCTCGCCCATCAGCTTGGCTGTGTTGTCACTGCTTTTGATAGGCCTGGTTGGGGTTTAACCGCTAGGCCTCATGTAAAGGATTTGGAAGAAAGAGAGTTGCCAAACCCTTACACCCTGGAAAATCAGGTAACTTGATTCGTGGACTATAACTCATGGAAGCTTTTGTAGAGTCACTTAAAACTCAAAGATCTGTGATATTTGTAGGTAGACATGCTTGTTGCTTTTTGCCACGAAATGGGATTTGCTTCGGTAGTCTTGGTTGGGCATGATGATGGAGGTCTGATTGCTCTCAAGGCTGCACAAAGATTGGTAGCATCAAATGATGCCACCATCAAAGTGAAAGGAGTGGTTTTGCTTAACGTAAGCTTGACGAGGGAAGTAGTCCCAGCTTTTGCGAGAATACTTCTGCACACATCACTAGGAAAGAAACACCTTGTTCGCCCGCTTTTACGAACTGAGATAGCTCAGGTGGTGAATCGTCGAGCCTGGTATGATCCTGCCAAGATGACAACAGATGTCTTAAAGCTATACAAGGCACCACTCCATGTGGAAGGCTGGGACGAGGCACTTCACGAGATAGGTAGACTCTCATCCGAGATGGTGCTTTCAACTCAAAATGCACAGTCGCTTCTCAAGGCAGTGGAACGCTTACCAGTGTTAGTCGTTGCTGGAGCAGAGGACGCACTTGTTCCCCTCAAGTCCTCCCAAGTCATGGCTTCAAAACTCTTCAACTCTGTAAGTCCCTCCGTTCATCTAATCAAACAATTTACTCTAGTCTCAGCAACTAACATTATACATGTCCAACAAACAGAGGCTAGTAGCAATCTCAGGGTGTGGTCATCTGCCGCATGAGGAGTGTCCCAAGGCGCTTCTTGCAGCCATGACCCCGTTCATAAGCAGACTTGTACTTAGTGACTGAGTGATCACTTCTTGTTGTCTTCTTAGCTCACAATCGATTAGTGGTTTGCGTTTTGTATCTTTTTTTGTCTGCCCCAAAAGAAAAGAAGTTGGGGGTGATTTTGAGGTCTTAGCAGCTGTGTGTACTCATCATGACCAGAGTTATTTGTAATATTCTCTGTTTTCTCTATGGATTGAAAGTCTTCTATTAATTTCTCAGTTAATCTAAGTGATTTTTTTCCGGTTTGCAGTAACCTCTGTCCGAACCAAACCAAGTTTCTTGTGTGAATAAACAGCAGTAAGCACCATTGTAGGATTAAACAATCTCCCGGAACAGGCTGAAACTTGCTGTTCTGTTATATAAAACTTTTTAAATATTTTCTTTTTGAGTTTCAAACATCATAAGCACATAAAACATATACAAACTAGAAATGTCTTGAGCTAAATAATGCATCCACCCACATCTTACAATCATATCTATTTTAAAAGCTACTATGAAAGAACTCAAGTAAAGCCTGAGACCATCAAACAACATAAGACCAAATATGATGTCTCAGATTGGTCGATTCAGACATCATATTTGGCACTTCAGGTTCTGGATGAGCTGGTCTCTGCTCCAGAAACAGTCGTCGTCAAGCTTCCAGTGTCGGACATGTAGTGATAATTGTAATTGATTCTGGTCACTAAATCAGCCAAATGAGGAAAGTGTCCCACATTCAGCTTCGAAGACAATACCTGCAAATTCAATTGTATCAACTAAGCTTTCAAATTACAAGTAACAAGTATACAAAGTTTTGGATAAAGATGGGCCCTTACTCTAAGAAGGAATGCTATGCAGTCTTCAAATTGTTTCTCAATGCGGTCTATTTCCATTTCGCATCTAGCCTTGATCGCTGCTGAGACTGCTCCACCGCTGCTCAGTGTCTGTTGTATCGAGTAGAATTCTAGAGCTAATCCGAGAATCATGTTGATCCGACTTGCTATGATTGCCCACTATACATACAACAACCATCAAACACTTAGTTTTCCAGCACCACATTATATAATAAATCTTATGCGATTAAAGAGATCACGTAATGGTTTATTTACCAGCTTTTCTTGAACCACGAAGCATTGCCTCTGAATCGATAACAAGTAGGTCTCATGTACATATATGACCTCGTCCAGAGACCCTGCTTTTACCATAGCTTCGCACAGTTCGCGCCATGCCGTATGATATACCTATTTCCAAAATCCGGTTCGGTAAGCTTTTCACTATTATTGAAGCCGCAATATAAACACAGTTTTTGCTCCAACTCTTGCACATACTATTACTTCAACGAAAAATGATATAGTAAAAAAAACCAATCATATAGTATCAGGTAATACCCTGTCCATTACGTATTGATGAAAAGCATCCACAAAATTGAGTAGCTTTTGTTCCAGTAACCAGTGGTGCTTGCGGATTTTTGTTGCAGAGCCTTTACCCTATAGTTAACAAACACACCAAATCACTAAGTTTATCAAACTAAACCACGTTATTGTCATTACCCTTCATATTTATCCATGTTGTTCAAGTGGATTTCGATGTCACATGAAACAGTCTAAAAAGAAAGAAATGAATTCGAGAGAATGCAAAAACCTTCCACATCCACCTTCGTGCTTTGTCAAGCACATATTTTGCTCGTTTGACCTTCAGCAAAAATCCCATCACCTGCTTTCATTTGTTAAACAATTAATACATATACCAACAAACTGTTACCCAAAAAAGGTGGATAAGAAACGGTTACCTGGTTATACTTCTTAATGGCCTCACTATTGGCAATAAGCTCAAGCGGCCATGGCACCTTACAAAATAGTTTAGATCTTTAATTAGACAGTTGTTAATACGTTGCAACTGGTTGGACGCGTAAATGTCTCTCTCTGTACCTTGTATGTGAATTTGAGAGACTCGAGGCAGTCTATCCCAAAGTTGTTAACACGGCTTTTACGAGTTGAAGAAAGTATTACTACGTCACCCTTGTCATCTTTGTCTTTGTCTAAATAACCTTCTCTGGAAATAGATACCACCAATGAATCAGGACTGTTTAACAGCATGGCATCAGCTGAATTTCTAATTGATTCCTGTCGATAATCACCATTACAATTTGGAATCAACTTTGTTGTGTGAAGACGATATACATCAATAAAAAAGGGATTTATACGCAAAACAATTAACAAGCAGAATCTTCTGAGAAGTGATATCTATAAAGATGAGGAGCAATGTCACTAGAAAAAAAAAACTTAATCAAACTTGGTTACCTGAAGGATTATGTTCAACTCAAAATCATCATTTGTTAACTCTCCCTTGCCCAGCTTGTTGAATATGACAGTCAGAAAATGCTGCAGAAGGTCCCCTGAATATTTTACGGTTTAATTAAGATTCCAGATACGACCCTTCAGACAAAAATGATGAAGCACATAAACGTACCTGAACCTAACAAGTAAATGGCACGCAACACCGCAAGTTCGTGCATCAATTTCCAATCATTCATTAGTTTTGACAAAATCATTTTACCAATGTAGTCCACCTACAACACGCACAGCTTACATAAGTTCACAAAAGTATGCATGTTGTAGAAACAAACGGCAACGCAAAGCATACATCACCGTACCTGCCTCCTGATGTAGATTGTGAAGCATTCTTGCATTATTACAACGGGAAGTGGAGCATCCCTAGGCTCTGCCTTCAGCATCCAGCTGAGAACTTTTGAAAGAAGTGTACTATTCTTTTGGGCAGGTAGGAACTCTGACATATGGAACTTCGGCTTTCGTTGTTGTTGTTGATAACAAAGATTCCAAAGTCAGCTATTGCACGTGGTATAAAAGTGAAGGAGAGGACACAGAATGATCATATCATTACTATCAAATTACCTGGAATGACGGAAGCAAAGTGGGAAAGGGAAATAACGTTTCGAGAACTTGAGTGTCATCCTGAGAAGAAAGGTATTCAGATCTACCAAACTGGAATCCAAATTTGTAGTTTGTGCCGCCCAATCCAGCATCTGCCACGCCAGATCCCTCAAAAATAGCACTCAACAAACTTTCATCATTCAGCGAGGGTAGACAGTAGTTGTGTGATAAGTTCAAGACATTCCAAGCATCTTTATTCCTCTCAAGATCCATTTTAGATACCGAAATAACAGGGTTTTCATGACAAAATAAACCCTGCATTGCTTTTTTAGCAGTGAGACCATTTTTTTCGACCTTCACACCAGTAACAGAACAGGGACTCTGGTGTTCTGATTTGGCCTCTATCGCTCTTTTCTCTTGCACGGCACCGACCAACAACTTATACCACATTCGCTCTGAGCACGTGAGAACTGGAAGATCTTTATCAACCATGCCACTCGCTAGCTCTCCAGTTATATATGATGCTAAAGTTGGAGAAATCTCCCACTCATCAGCCTCATCTTTCCACAGATATCTAGAGACGTGATCACCATGGCCTATAAGGCCAGCAAGTGTTAGACAAAAGATTTCAGACAAGGATAAGTCTGCAGTGGTCCTAATGTTGTTGTTTTTCGCCAGTAGTACACCACAGTCAGAATCCCCAAGACAATTTCTCCCATTGTACTGAATCTCTGAAGACGTGGAAGGAATATGTTGCATCAGCTGCAATGATTTTCCAGCAGAAACAATCGATTTAGAGATGTCTTTTAAGAATAATGGGCATAGCACCCGATTATACTGCTCTCTGTCAGGAACTAAAGTGGAGTCAGTTCCAGTCAGTCCTTTCTTTTCATTTAGTGAAGTTACACTTGACTTTGGGCCCGGCAGCTTCGTCAATATGTAGCTTTTCTCCCAAAACTCTGCATCGTTAACGGAGACCGATTGATTGGCTGTAAAAAACAACTGAGAAGAGACTACATATATCATCATTAAACTTAACTAGCCTTGTAAAGAAGAGAAATACAATAGCAATGAAGACGAACCTCTGCAAAAGGATCATCAAGAGTGCCTTCAAACAACCATGAATCCAAACCCTCGATATAAGGCAATAAGGTGCCAGCAAAGATTTGCAGCAGCATGTGAAATCCTTCCACCTGGTCACAGATATAATCAATAAAGCAGCTTGGGAAGAGATCAAAAAACAAAGGGAGAAAGAAGAAAGGCAACAAACCTCACCACCTTGGACAAGGGAAACTTGATCCAACATCATGTAAAGGAAATCAAGAACGTGGACAGCAACTTGAGAAGGGGAAATAGTAGAAGTTGAATGGAAATAAGAAGGAGGGATAGCACCTCGAACAACTTGTAAAAGGAACTCAGCACCTGAACACAGACTTACCAAATGAATGGAGAAATAAAAAAAGGATTAAACAGTTGAAGTGAGAAATAGTATTCAATTTACAAAACATATATAAGCAACATACCTACCTAGATAAGGAACTAGTTAATCCCAAGAGGGTAGGAGTGACAGTAAGAGTAGAGTCGTGGATCTTCAGTTCCTCGTTCAAAGAGATGTCTCTGAGTCTCTGTTGTAACGTATATCATCAGAGTCTCAGTAAAAACAAATAAAAACAACAAAGAAAAAGGAAGGTGGGGGGATTGGCTTGCCTGAAGCCAGGCAGAGACAGAGTTAGAAAAAGCCATTAAGGTAGGAGGAGAGTAGTTATTATAATTAATTCGAGCGAGGAAAGACTCGACGAGCTTCAAACATGTTGCGGCGTACAAAAAAGGAGCGAGAAGGGAAAGAAGGCTTGTCCGAGACAAATGAGAGACGCGAATCTGCTCGGTGGTGGTGGTTTTAGCGAGGAAAGTCTGACCAAATTGGTCCCAGACTATCAAGGGGCTAGACAGACCTTGCATAGCTTGTAACACACCTCTCACCTATCAAAGCAAAAAGAGAGAAAGATGTTACAAAAAGAAGGATAGTACAATAGTTAGTGTATGGAATGGTGAGTGAGGCTATTACCAGATCCATTTCAGTGACGGTCACTGAAGGAGTGGAGTGTGACCAAACTCTGCGCCTGCCCGGAGTTAGGGTTTCTATGCCCGTCCCCCGATCAACTCCAACCATCGACTCCATTATTTTTTTGTTTTGATTTCCAGAGGGAGAGTCATACGAGGGAAATCGAACAAGCTTGCGATTGTTGAATCACAGAGCGAGAGAGAGAGAGAGATAAAAGAGATCTCAGGCCCATTTAGTAAAGTAAGCCCGTCGCAGATACCAGACACATACACTTTTGATTTCTGCACTTTTGATTTCTGAACTTTAAGGATTTATACTCGGTACTAATCCTTTGTTTAATTAACTCTAATTTTTATTTGAACATTTGAAAACAAAGCTAGAGATGAAGAAGATACACTTGGGTCCTCATACTACGAAATCCCTTCCTTGATATGAAATCAACAAACAAAATCATATCATCATCATGCCTTAGCTAACTATCCATTTTTTCTAAATCTACCAGACAGAGACAGCACAACAACAACGTAAGCTTCTTGCTTGGCCAAAGAAGCCAACCACACTATGCTTTTGCATATTTTGTTCGGTCAAAATCCTCCTATCTTTTGTGCTCTTGCTGATATAAACATCCTGATTGTTTCCTTTTATATATGTGTTCCATTATTGAAGAGTCTTCTCTCCTCCCCCCTAACAGCAGCAGAGCTACTTGTTACGCCTCCTTCAAACACAAACACGAAAGCTAAGGCATACATTTTTTAGCTAGGAAGAAAAAAGTAGGTGTAATTAGAATCACCAACCAACACACCTTTTGCGAGATTTACTTGTTAATTTGATGGGTTTTTTCTTTTTCTTTTTGATGTCGCAGATTCCAGTCACAATCTCCTCAATGTCTATGGCTGTATCATCGACATTAATTGTCAACAGATTGCACTTATCCAAACCATTCAGTTGATGATGATGACCAGCACTTGGATCAAGGCAAGCATCCTTTTTTCTTACATGTTCCATTAGCACAAGCCCTGCAAGTACCATACTGACCAATAAGAATAATAAGTGATTGTGCAACATATTCAGAGTTATGAGAGAAGCAAATACCGAGAGCTCGGAGCAACTTGAGATCAAAATGATCAGCTAGTTCGGGGTGATCACTTATTTCAGCTCGATGAATGGCTAGCTTCTTTAAGCTGATGAGCAAATCCTGCACAATAAATAAAAAATCGGTAATAAGAATCATTGAATGTTGGGTTTCCTTGTCTCAAAATAAATAATAAATAAATAGTTTACCAGTTCAGATTCAGAGAGAGAGCAAAGCCAAGAGATATCTTGCGTCCTATTGTTCTTCAAGATTTCGCTGAGTTCATCCATATTATTAACTCTTCCTAAGAAGAGAAGAGAAGGGTATAAAAGAATCAAATAAAAACACCAACAATACTACTAAACCCAGATGTAATACTAAATCAATGGCTTCGGACTAGTCGTTTACCTCAACCACGCTTCCAATCACAACGCAGCTGGCTGGGGGTATCAATGCAGTCCTCCTCCTCACCCTAATTTTCTAGAGTAATAGAAGACAGCAAGGGCAGAATTGAAGAGAAGGAGACGCGAACAAAGTGATAAACCCTAATTCATCTATCCATCTATCTCACCGGAAAACCAAATTAGATTAACAATTAACAGACTGGTGTAAGCACCAAGGATCCGTGGCGCAATGGTAGCGCGTCTGACTCCAGATCAGAAGGTTGCGTGTTCGATTCACGTCGGGTTCAATCCTCCCGATTCAATTAGATCCTTCACTTTTTTTTCCTTAAAACCTTTCCATATTTAATGTCCACTCACCTTTTGTTAACTCTTTTGATTTTCAGTGGCATTCTCTATAGAACAGATAGTATATAAATATGCATTCATAGTGAAGATGAGATGGTGGAAGAAAAACTAATCTTAATTGCACAGTCATCATTGTGATTGTAATAAAGAGTCTAAATTATAGAAGCAGTTTTGTTTTCTGCAGAAAATACAAGCTTGTTAACCATTGGTGTTGTGATGATGTCTAATAAAGTAATAGTGACTTCTTCTACCGCTTTAGAATCTCTGTTAGTGAAGTCTCATTTTTAATATTAATGTGGGGTGGGGTCAGAGAGATTTGGAAAGGGGCTTAGAAGAAGTGAAACAACAGTGGATGATCTTCCTGACGTCGCTTCGTATGGAGAGGAATGCAGAGAGGGATGCGAGAAAGAGCGTTGGGTAGACACGAACAGAGGCAGGAGGGGAGCTGAACAGAAGAAGGTCTCTGAGAAGACCCCAATAGATCAAAAGCGTGCCAATGAAGGTTAATCTTCTGGGTTTGAAGATGCTGAGTAAAGCTCCAAGCAGACATAGACAGCAGCCAGCAAACACCTGTGCAAGTGCAACAGGCAGAAGAAGCAGAGATTAGTTGAATGTGAACCTAATGAGATTTGTGTTGTTGGATGAGACAGAAAGAGAGGGAAAGAAGGAAGCGAACCTCAAGATGACGGATATCATCGGTTGAAAGGGAGGAGGAGGAAGATCTATTGAGCTGGTCGAAATGGTAAAAGTTGAACAAGTTGTGATAGTTTGGGAGTGGAGAGCCACGGAGAAGGGACTTGGCAATGGCACCAGGATAAAGGAGAGTCTTGACAAGAGATGAAGGAACGAGTTCGCTTCCAATCAACTGAGAGGATATTACCTCCAGTGGTGATTCACAGGTCTTGTTCCTGCACGCTACTCTGCAGATCCGACCAAACACAGATTGAGAGAAAGAGAGAGAAGATGGTCGCTCAGAAACACACACACAAAAAAAACGCAAAATCAAAACAGAAAATGAAACACACAGTTGCAATTGCAAAACAAAGAAAAAAACTCAGTGCATAGTAACAAAGGTTCTTGCTCTAATCCAATGCCCTATGTGAATCTAAAATCTAATTCATTGTGCCTCGGTTTCACCAAAACACACAGAGAAACCCTAATGCCGCAACCGCCATTATGAGAGAGAATGTTTTTGTTTATTATACCGGAAGAGAGGAATCTGGAAGACGATGATGAATGCAAAGACAGAAGAAGCTACCACGGAGATTGTCGACGCCCATTTCTTTGAAACCGCCATCTTTCGTCTTTCCCCACACCACTGATTATTTGATATTTATATTTTGACACCAACGATTATAAAGGGTTCGTAGAAGAGGGAAGACTCTAAGATAAAATGATTACAGAGCAAAATGCGAAATGTTTTTTTTATTTAGGTTATTACCCCCCACGTTTTTCTTGGTCAACAGAAAAGCAAGTTTTCCTTTGCCGTTTCTATAAAATAGTACCCAATGTTTTTGTATTTGCATTATTATATAAATAAATATACTCGACTAATTGGGTGGGCTACAAGGCAAGAACACAACTTAAATAGCGATTCAAAAGTAATCTTCAGTATTTTCTGCTTTTAAACCCTTATGGTTAATCCTCTAAGAGGTACCGAGTTTTTATCACTGATGATTCGTCTTCGTATTTTTTTATCTGCAAGTAACAAAAGAAAACCAACAAAGAAGAGCATTCAATGCCTCCAAGGCTTTCACTGTTCACTGAATAAAAAGTTGTTTCTGCTGTCCTAAGCAAATCCCTTGTTTCTAGTGATAATGCATCACTGAAGTAACTTTTCAACCGAATAAAAATTGTACATTGCGTTTTTTTTTCTGGGAGGGGTATGAGGTTTCAATGTTACAATTATACAACTAAGAAAGACTATGTAAGCTTACACTCTTTTTGATCACATACCAACACCGTATGATTAACCTGAGACCACCGAAGCTTCTGTCAGATTAATCAACCTCAACCTGTCAGCTCCTCCATTTGCCCCTGTTAGTTATCCCAAAGGATTTACAACTCAGTTTTCTAGAAACAGAGTTTTCACAATCATGAAACTCCTAAAAGGACCATTTATAGCCTTTGGCGTACAAAACTCCATCTAATTAACGACCAAAGAAACCAATAGAATGGTTTGTCAACATGTACTCTTGAGGAAACTCAAGGGAAATGCGACAAGGGTCAATTCATAATCACAAATGTACACTTCCACTCATCTTATTTAAAAACCAGTTCAAAATCCCTACGCTTCCCTATGTGCATCTCCTATTAAATCAGGTTTTTTCAACAAATTTTAAGTTACTGGCTCCGCCAGCTATGATGTAGGGAAGGCCATAGTCAACGATTTTGGCAATATGAATATGCTTACAGCATTTAAACTTCCTCATCAATTATACAAGGCGGATAGGGAGGAAACAATAAAAGAAAGAAGACTGACCCGAGCAATGTAGGGTTCTGCATCAGTTCGTTTGAGGAAATGCATAGAGTGACGTGCGAAATTTGTTGCCTTGTCACCCATCATTATTCCTTGTTCAATATCTCCCACAACTCTGACCTTGATGTACGGATCCTTTGGAGGCACCATATCCTTCAAGAAACACCAAATTCAACAGAATAATTAATTACTCTTTGTGTAGCAAGCCCCGCCAAGATTAAGAAAGACAAATCCAAATTAGTTGAGGCAGGGGGGAGAGAAGGCTTCCATACGACATTCAAATCGATTCCTGCTTTTCCCATGTAGGATTTGAGAGCAGAGGAATGGTTCTTGAAGTAGTCCTTCTCGAGTGTGGTGAGCTTCTCTTGGATTTCAGGTGGAAGTTGGGGAAGTAGAAGTCCTACTGTCCACGCCAGATCACGTACAATTTCTGCTCTATTGTGGCTGCACACCAATAAACTGTGAGTGTTTTGTGTTGACTATTAAAAAGAAGGGGGGGGGGGTGAATAGAGACTCACACATAAGCCATGAGGCATCGCTTGTTGCGGATTAAAGAAAGGTGATGAACGAGTGTTCCATAGTAGTCAGCGTTTCTATTGTTTGAAACATCTAAACCTTCTTGTTGCATTTTACTGGTAAGTGGAAACATCAAGACTTTGTTAAGCATAGATTTTGTACCAAACATTGACAAAAAAAAAAAGAGAGAGAGAGAGAGAGAAAGAATACATCATGAGAGACTGCATGAGACTATGATTCTGCTCGCATTCTTCGATTGTCTCATCAAAGAGCTTGCTCTGATTATTGCAAAAAAAAAGTAGTGAATTTTGATCCAACTTCCGCTAGGCGTACAAGCACTAGCATGAAAATATTCATCTAGCATTAACTTAATTTCCAAACTCTAGGCCTAGAATTTTGCAACCTATAGCTTTTACATTTCAAAAGATAGATAGCTAATAATACAATAGTTCGAAATCGAAATCAAACGAGATGAGTATATATGACAAAGTATAGAAAAATAAGGAGCGCTTGCTTACATTGAAAGGCTTGAGCTGACCCTTCTCCCCACTCGCAAAATCCTTAACAAGCTGATACCCTTTTCTCCCGTACATGGGCGCTTCTCTCTTCTCTTTGTGTGTTTAATTCCTGAGCTGAGAGTACAAATCTATTCAGGCAATTCATCAAACATGTGGTGTGCTTTCAAACAAACCCAAAAGGAAACGACAACGGAAGAACTGCAGAATTCATATTTCTCTCTATATGTTGCAAATCGAATCTATTCAGTTGAAATCGCCGGGATTCAACGGAGAGAGATAACATGCTCGGATCTATATAAAAAAAAAAGAAAAGTACCACTTATATCATTCGGCGGGAAGGAAGGGGACGGATCTGCACCAGAACAGCCTCTCGCGGCGGCTGTCAATTCCACAAAGAAACAATATATTATTAGTCCAATTATATCTAGGGATATTTCTCTTCTTCTGTTTTTTTATTTAAGGGTTGTGTGAATTTTTAGGCGGGGGTTGGATTCAAAAGGTTTTGAGATTTAGCGCCACTTTTTTTTTTATTTCTTTGTATAATAACACAGACATACGTGTGTGATATATGTTGTATTGTATAGTATGTATGGGTTGGATTTTTTTTAAGGTGACTGATGATGTGGTTACCAGTCGTTAGTAATTCACTCTAATTTTCAATGGTGACTCATGATGAGGTTACCACTTGTTAGTAATTCACTCTAATTTTCAATGTGGATGTCGATTAGCAATGAACTATGTGAATTAGTTTCGCTGACAAATGAATCAAATTTAAAATAAGTTAATGTTTCAAAATTGTATTTTACCACTAAATCAAAAAAGGTTTTGTATAAATCGGTCTATCGAACAAATTTTGCAGGCTAACATATTTCACACACAAATAATATATGAGTTTAAAAGTGTGACTATAAGTTTACTATTTTTTAGTTTACTATCATTCTCGCTTTTTCATTTACTCATATACTTCCACATCTATCAGTCACACACTAAATATGTTTTTTCTCCAAACCATTAGAAGATAACACTATCGATAGACTAATCACACGTAACATATTCGTGTTCTATCAAATCTTCAGTTACGGATAAGGCGTCTTTTAAACAAACCAAAAAAAAAAAAAGTTGAAATTAAAGCCACTTTGTTCGCATGCATAACAGCAAATCAATATTTTGTCCAGAATTGTTTTCTAGATTTAAAAGGCGATTTGAAAGCTTGGCAGTTTGGCTTTAATTTTGGTGATTACAAAGAAGATATGGCCACACAAAATATGTTGCCCATACGAAAAGACGGCACATGAGCGAGTGGTTACTGTCCACAATATGAAAAATAATGGGCTGGTCCAACATAAGCCATGCAACATGAATACATACAAGATATTACAAAAAAAAAGATCAAAAACAATGCACACTCTTCAAAGTTTTTATTTAATTTTTTTAACCTCCTTACGAGATTATTATCAGCTCGAGATTTATGTGATTAATCTCCAAGAAATCAGTTATCTGCCGAGGTTTGTAGTTTTTTTTTTGTGGTAAAAACCGAGGTTTGTAGTTTCAACCAACCAAACGAATTATCAGACAAGAACAGCAGTCAGCATCGATGAAGAAAATACTACTGCAAGAAAAACAAATTAATCCATGTTGGACTATGTTTGCTGAAATTATGCGATGGCTTAGTGAATGAAAAATAGATTTTTAATTTTCGACACTTACTCCCATAATTACACGTTGCTTTGACCGAGTACTCTAATCCCGTTTAACAAATACAAACGATAATATTATTTGGTTAGAGATGTGAAGAAGCAGGCCAACCAAGATCCAAGAGATATAAATGTAAAGATAAGAATAGGGAGAAATGAATAAGTCTTCTGAAACACAGTCAGTGATCAACCACTTTTAGCAAACATCCAAAAGACCAGAGCGAGCTAGGGAACATCAAACAAAACAAAACAAAACGAAACAAACAAAGAAACAAAGACGGAGGAGGAGAAGGAACAGTTACCGCCATCAATGGCGGGTCTTCAGAGATCTAACATCTCCTTTCGCCGTCAGGGCTCTTCTGGTATTGTCTGGGACGACCGTCTCATCGCCGAGCTTAACAAACAGGCCAACGACCAGAAAGGCGAAACAGATGAACAGGAAGAAGGTAAGGAGGACCAGACAGCCAGACCCATCTCTGGAGGAGGAGGAGCAAACCGCCACCATAGAAACACGGGAAGAGTGTCTCCGGCGGTGGATCCCCCGTCGCCGAGACTGTCGGCGTTTGGATGTTGCTCTGCTTTCGGGAAGAAACCGGTGGTGAAGCAGAGGAAAATTAGGCCACCCAAACGCAGATTAATTACCAGAGGATGACCTGACAAAAGGGAGGGAGCAAAGTCAAGACACACAGACAGACACACAAAGAAGAAAAGACATCATATACTAGCAGTGTTCATTGAATACTCCTTTTATCTTTCCTTTCTGCTTCTTTTACTTTAAACTTGTTTGTACTTGGACGAGATGTTTATATCTGATTTGCAAGCAATTAAGATCTCTTGTAACAATACTTCAACATACATCTACAAGCTTATTGTTCTATACTTAATTCGAATTCCGGTCCTCCTTCTTGTCTCTCAGTCTCAGATGACGAACGCTTCTTGGAACAGTCCGCGATCACATCCGTATCATCATACATTTGAAGTCATGTTTTCATATCCATAATGTAATAATTAAACTCTCTGATCATCTCCCCATCAACTGTAAAGATCATATCCGTATCATACATACATTTGAAGTCATGTTTTGAGCCTAAACGTGCTACCACTCGGGTCAGTGTAAACCTTTTGATGTTATAAGACCTCTCACTATCATCAATGCAAAGATAGACATGAAAATCAGGCCCATAAGAACAGGTTGTATATATCTATTCACAATTGTTAGTTAAAAACAAGTCAACCTTAAAAAAGGCAAGGGGTCACAGGAGCAGAAAAATATGACAATGCCTTTCGGTGGCTTATCTCCTCCTGCTTCTCTTCCTAGTGTCCTAAAAGCTTGTAGCCTTTGAATAATCTAATCAAGTTGTTAGGTCAGATTTTATTTGTATTCCTTTCCTTTTTCCAAAGACAACCTTAGATTTGATGCTTATTTTCCTATTTTAATACGGAAACGTATTATATAGTTTATGATCTACTTGGATTGGATATATTACTAGAAAGGGAAGCATAATTAAGTTGCATGATTTTCTTTTAACTAGTTGCTGATTTTTTTTTTTGTTTCTTTTGTTCTTGGCTTAGATTTTGAGTGGATAAGTAATGAAAGATATGATATGATTTTTACTTTAGCATTATTATATCTAAATGCCAACTTAAACATTCGATTCCTTCCAAAATTCCAAAGTTATTTCCTTAGGATAAAATAAAGACCCAAGAGATGGGATAATAAACAACTCCTATCCTATAAATACATCCCCAAAAATCATAACACTCACCATATTATCCAAAAACATCAGATTACCCAACACATAAACACACATAAAGGGCAGGAAGATGAGTTCTGTACAACAACTTCCTCTGCAGTTACGTAATGGTACCAACTCCAAGACGGTTATTACAGAGAAGAGAAGGTCGGTAACAACTCCGTCAAATGGCAATAAGCTAGAGAGCAACCCAACGATTCATCGTGACGTCGACAAATGCGCAGAAGCTTTCATCCAAAACTTCAGGCGACAGCTTCTTCTTCAGGGCGATGATTGATATATATATATAACATATAATAATAATGTACATATAAACTGGAGATTATGTCTCATGTGTGATTCCATAACGTATCTACATTTGACGTAGCTAGATTTCCATGCTTCCAAGGTTTCAGTTGTGCTATAAGTAACATCTCTTTCATTTTCATAATGTTTAGAAGCAAACAACGAACAAAAGAGAGTTTGGTTTCTCTACTTGATGGCATAGAGAGAATAGAGAAAAGCAAATGGTCATTTTAATCAAATAAACCTCAACAGAGAGACTTAATATTAACACACACAAGTGAGAGAGAGAGAGAGATCAGAGGAAAGCAAGTGATCATTTCCCCAGCTAAAAGAATCACATCGACCTCAGAGTCTTATTACACGCAAATATTAATTAACACACAAATGAAAGAGACAAATTTAAATGATACACGCAAGTTATTAACATATGATTGACCAAAGAGATTAAAGGGAGGGAGGTCAAAAGAGTCTAGGGTTGGATCTGCGGTGGCTGGACGAGCTGGTGGATATTGACACGAGAGCATGAACGAGCCATCTCTCCAGCGAGAGGCACGACGGGGAGGCTATCGCAGTTGCAAATCTCAATCATGAAACCATCAGGATCGTGGAAGAAGAGTTGGTCGACTTGGATTCCACCTTCTTCCACCACTGCTCTCACATACTCTATTCCCATTTCCTTGAGCTTTTTCTCTACCGCCCCCATGTTCTCGCACTGCACACACAAAATTTTCTTCCTTTAAATTGAAATAACTCGGCTCTGTTTACCCCTTCTCTATTCTATTGTGTCTTTTACTTTTATGTCAAGTAAACTAATATTATACAACCACAGTGGCAACTAAATATCTACAATATGAAGAAGAAGAAGAGAAGGGTTGGGGGGTACCTGGAAAGAAATGTGATTATCCTTGGGATTGATCTCAGTTTTCTTGAGTAATTTCTCAGGCTCTGTAGACTGCAGAAGATGAATTCCAACTCCATGACCAAACAACCTACTCTCACACAAAGTTAAATTATGAGAGTAATTTAAAAAGAAATAAATATTCAAAGTAATATAAAACATGTACCAGGCGCCATCGAAATCAAAAGAGCCAGGTCTCCGGATTGGGAGAAAACCTAAAACGTGCTGGTAAAAGTTCATGGATTCCTCCACGGATCGACATAGAAGAGATATGTGGTTCAACGACTTGAGATGGAGAGGGTTTCCCGTGTTTTCTTTCATTTCTTCCCCACAAGCAAACCAAAACCAAGAATGATCCAAAACCAAAACCAAAACAGAACAGAAGAGAAGGGGCGTATGAACAACAACAACCTTTGAAAATTTTAATACGGAATATATGTATTTTGCAGTTAATAGACGAGGAGGAGGAGGAGGAATGATCGATTATAATAAAGAGAATGCTGTATTGTACACGTGTGTGTATGCATATGTGTCGTGATCGAGTAACCCACGCAACTTATTTGGTTGATGCCGATGTTTGTATCTATCATTACGTTTTAACTCACCACTGAGATTCATAGTATATCGCATATATCTTTATTCAACTTTGGACCTACAACTCCTCAAATTCTCCTATCATATAAACACGTGTCAAGTTCTACAAAAGCCCTCTGTCATTGTCAGTTCCACAAATCAACTGACCCAAATAAAACATTGTTTGCCTTCTCATTTGTGGTCTCTAAAGTTTTATGTATTTTATTTTCACAATACAAAGAATATTTTTTTGATCCAACGAAACAAAGATTGTGGATCTTGAATCTTCTAAAGAAAAACAAATATATTCTTCTCTTGTTTATTCCTATATACTGTATCAGAAATTTTGATGCTATTGTTGATACGGAACCCACCTTTTCTTTTGGCCAGAAGATGATCTTTTCCACGGCTCACTCAATGCCTAAGCCACGCGTGTGTGCATCACCAGTCCAAAATTTCCTAATCTCTAGCACATGGCAAAAGATTGTTCACAAAATTGTGGATGACGTATTGCTCTCGACCTGAAATTAAAAGAGGACATAACATCTTGTAAATACTTTTATGTACAAGCAAAACTTTGATACTGAAGAAGACATCCATCACTTACTCAGTATTCATTGGAGTTTTCCAATTTATCATCAGAGAGAGAGAGAGAGAGAGTAGAGGACATGGAAGAACACATAGTTGAATCTGTCACGAAGATGTTAGTGTGCCTTCCTAATAATATACGTTTTCCAGTTCCACGAGAACTATATAAGAGAAACTCAGGAGATATAAAGAAACAGAATCCTCTGGCCTGCAATAGTCGTGTCAATGTAGCAAAATTGGTTCCACTCCATGTAAACCAATTACAAAATAGACTTAAGTGGAAGCAACTGTTTTGCGCTGAACGGAGGAACTCGTTTGTGAACTAACCCCATGATCAACTTTGCTTGATCAAGATGGCCTTTTTTCACAAGCCCGTCCACCAACATACTAACGGTGTCCAAGTTTGGGTACCACTTCTTTCTCATACAATCCTTACACATCGTATAACCCAAATCAACCTTTCCCGCCTTACACAAATAATGTATCATCGTCTGGTAGATCTTCAAATTGGGTTTGTAAGCTTTACCATGCATGGCTGTATAAACTCTTTGTGCCATTTCAGGAAACCCAGCTACAAAAAAACCTTTGATAACCATGTTATATGTCACGTTGTCGGGTTCCATGTGGAGTTTAGGCATCAACAGCAACAGATCATTAGCATCCCAAGCCCGTCCCCTATTCACTAAAAACTGAATCCTAACATTGAAGGTGGTGAGACTAGGGTTACAGCCCTTGAGCACCATATGGTTCCACAGTCCATTTCCAATCACATACCTATCATGCTTGTAAAAGGCTGATATAAGAGTAGTATATGTAACTACGTCTGGTTTCAAGCCAGACATGTCCATTTCCTTCAATACCAGAGACGCCTTGTCAAGAAACCCCATCTCACAGAGAGATTTAATAGCAATGTTAAACGAAAATGCATCCATTACAACCCCATACTTGGAGGGGACATGGAGAAGGAAGTCCTGGATGGTGTGAAGATCAGGTTTCAAAGTTAAGACTTTAAGTGCGGCATTGAAAGACTTAACAGTCCTCTTGCAGCCGTATAAGTCCATGTTGTAGAAAGTATCGAGGGCGTGCTTAGTCATCCCAGCCTTGCCGTATAACATAATAATCCTAACAACGAAGCCCTCGCGCCTACCTTGTGGAAGCGTCTTCTGATGCTCAAGTAACTCCTCGATGAAATCAAACCGACGTGCACCGGCTAATCTAGAAACGGTGTCTTCGAAAGCAAAACGATTTTCAACGACCAAGTGGTTGGTAGCATTAGCTTGAAAGAGGTGGAATAGCTTCTGAGGGTGTCGCTCAGATTTAAGCTTGAAAAGGGCAGGCTCCTCCTCCTGATTATTGGATACAGCTGGAGCGTGAAAGCTGGAGGCAATAACAGAGGAATAGCAGAATCTGCGAGTTGGTCGCAGAGATAGCAGCATGATCCCTCCACCCTAAACATGCCCCTCTTTCATTCCCTCAGAAACCCAATACCAATGCGATTCAACAAGTAACTTACCCCGCCAGGGAATCTAATAGCACAGGATAATTAGCGATGATGCTACACCGGGGATGTGCCCGGAAAAAGGAGAGAGATTTCGATCTGAGGTCCCCCGAGAATGGAGGCTAACGACGGAACTGAACTGTGTGGAGAGAGCGACACAAACAAACGGAGGTTTAAGGTTTTTGGGTTTTGAGGATCGAGAAAAAGCAAAAGGAACAAAAGTTCAGTGGGCTCTAAATAGCTTATTGGGCTACCTTTATTATAGAGGCCCACCTTTTAACTCACAGTTATTATTTATTTGTCGTCCTCTAATTTACATAGATTTTTGCATCGTAGAAATTACAAAAAAGAGTCAGTCAAATCCATTAGGGTTTAGTGGAGGAGACAGGAGGAAGGTCGAATGGTGCCTTGAGTTGAGCCTTCAACAAAGGTACAGAGGGAAGAGACAGAATCAATGCCATTGGCTGGAGACAAGTCAATGTCTCTCATGAAAACCTTGGAACATGCATTCTTCCCGCCACACTCCAGCTTCATTGCCACCTCTGTCCTCGATGTTCCACTCATCTTCATATATTTCACTTTCTCTATGTGAACCGCCTTTTCCTGATCATACACATACCCAAAACTAAATTCCTTTTTTTTTTTTTTTTTTTAAACTTGTTATAGAAAGAAGAGGAAAATTACAGTCTTAACGCAATTAGGAGCACAACCATAGAACTGATCAATGATTATGGGATTTTGTACGGAAGTGAAACGAATGTCGAAGAATTCTATTCCACGGACGTATCCAGTTCCTCCAGGCCACGTCTTTATTCGAGCTCCGTTACTTGTTCCTGTGAAGTTAACGTGGGCTACACGTATGTCTTCCACTGCTACCTCTGTTCCTCCTCTACCTAAACTCCCAACGCTGTTTCACATTTTTTTTTTCATTAGCTTCTTCTTCCTTTTTCTCTCTCTCTATATATATATATTTTTTATATTTTATAGGATCATGGAGATTTTAATTAAGCACCTCACACCGTGACCAGGTCCACAGTTGACAAAGGTAACACTCAAATTATGCACTTGATCTCCTATCGACACACAATCATCACCTATATATATATATATTTGACAACGACAAAGTTCTAGCTAGCGAGTTAGCATCATTTTCAAAAGTCTTTTCTCTTGTCAAATGATATATTGTTGTTACGGCTAAACTAAATAAATTTACCGGTGGCGAAGTCGGAATGAGTTATAGAAACGGCGGAGGAAGATGTGATGTGGACACCGTCGGTGTTAGGGCTAACCTCCGGAGATTTTATTTTGATGCCTTTGATATGCACGTTTTGGCTTCCCATCACAAGAACATGTGATTGTGCACTATTTCTAAATCTCAAACTCTTCAATATTACATTTCTGCAATTGCTGAATGTCATCATCTACAGGAACAAAAAGAAAAAGTATATAATTCACACCATCCCTCCAAGTTTTTCTTTTTCATTTTGTTTCCGTAAAAGAAAAAAACTTACAGTTGGCGCAAGCCAGATGCAATTCTGAAATTAATAACATAGAGGTGGTCAGTTATGTAAGCCAAGAAAACAAAAAGGCAGAAAATGTGAGGATTAAATAAATTACAGGTCCGGGATGGTCTCTACAATGAATGTCCCACCATCCTTTGCCTTGGCCGTCTAACAAGCCACGTCCAGAAATTACAAGTCCCTCCACTCGATCGAATATGAGCCATGGTATTATCCCGTTCTCTCCTTTCTGCCACTTCTTTGGATCACTCTGAGCTTTCATCTCTCCATCTATCTATATCACATATACACTTTAATTGGAGGCTATGCTTAGTTACTGTAAAAGTGATCCATATGTATGGGGGGGGGGGGATATACCGTGAAAAGCAGAGTTTTGAGTTTGCAGGGACCCGTGAAGTGGAGAGAATTGAGCAGGAACACCTTCCCTGTCGGTACATATACACTTCCCATTTTGGAGCTTCCGTTACAAGCATTGTCCCACGCCTTTTGGAACGCCTTTTTTTTTTTTGTCAAATATATGTTTAGCGTAAGCTAAACTTTGTAACTTCAGCTTATTTTGATATACATTACACAAAAAACTTACAGAGGTATCATCTGAAATTCCATCGCCAACAGCTCCATATTTCATCACCGATTCACCATAGCTTAACCAGGGAAGTCCTAAAACTGCAACAAATACGATCAAAACAAGATCCTGCAAAGAAAAAAAATATATTCAAATGAGTATTAGCTTCTTCTTCTTTTTCTTGACAAAGGGCAAATGAGTATTAGCTTTTGAAATCAGGTTAAATGTTAATAGAGAGAGATTCAAAAGAGTCTTACCATTTTGACAAGAAATGAAACTAACCAGAGTTGAATATATGATTCATTTCAGATTTGTCTTAAGCACATATAAGCAGGCAGCATAAGAGGCTGATTCAGGCCTCACATTGATAACATAACAGCATGGTTTGTAAGTGCATGCAATCTGTTCGGTTTTCTAAGAAAAATAAAACTATCTTAACCTGGATATATATACATGAGCATCAAAGATTCTCTGTATGTATTTAATTTGTAGTAACAGGAGATCATTTTGCCTTAAGTTTTTCCTTTAATATCCGATACTTTTGAGTTTGTAACAGCCAAAAAAAAATAACTTGAAAGATTTTCTAGTTGACCCAAACAAAATTGTAAGTTTGCATTTTTTATTTTATTTAACATACTATTACAAATTTGACAAGTTTTTTAATTAGGAGTTTACAGGTGAACTGTGAATATTGATTTTCTAGTTGATCTAAACAAAAGATCAATATTCACTTGCTATGTATCAACATTTTACATTGCCTTTTGTTTGATTCAATTCAAGAACAACTGAAGTCAATCGAACATAATCTTCTCCAGGGACATTGGAAACAAGTAGTCTCACAACTTTTGAGATAGAATAATCTCCCCTCCACGGAACTGTGCTCAGCTGTTGAACTAAGACTCAGTGGGAAGTTTCAATCTCAAGAGCCGCTTGATCCTGCCTTTGTCTGCGCTCTCTATAATTCTGTGCACCAGTAATTCCTCTTAACTACTCAATTCTGAAGCAGTCCAATAAACAATATGATATTTTGGTCTAACCGTCCAGACGTTTTCATCAAGACAAAAGCAAATACTTCCATATTTATGAGTTGGAGGTTTCCCTCACACATCTTTGACAGCAGCGGTGATGATAGTCCAATAAAAAAATTAATCACACTCTAAATATTAACTGTGACCGCTACAAAAGACAATCAGCAGAGTGCCACGTGGTGACTTTTTTTTGCTGTTACCAGACTGTAATTAAGAGATTCCTGTAAGTTTTTTTCGCATTGGGATCTAGACTTTGAAAATCTAGCATTAAGTCAACAGCAACGTTTTTCCAAAGTACGTGGTGACCTTTTTTTGCTGTTACCAGACTGTAACTAAAAGATCTCCATAAGTTTTTTTCGCATTGGAATTCTAGACGTTCTCTACATCTAGTTGAACTAATGTAGAGAAGGCTTTTGGTTTTGTCCGACAAACTTTAGCTATTTTCGATTAAACTCGTCATTTGGGCCAATTGACAAGTTTACGATCGACATGCAATCAATCTACAGCTGAATTGGCCAACGGGAAAAGGGGACAGGCTCTTTTTCCATGCAAATGTATTCACCTATATATATAAGTAAATATTTATTTATTTATGCAGCAAACAATCTGTATGCTTTTTCCATGCTATAACCCAGTCTTTGTGTGTTTGAGGAATATTGGAGAAATGGTCACGTCACTAAAATATAAACGACGTGGTTTTGGAGCTGCATTTTTCATTGTCAACATCTTATCTACTCTCCTATCTCCACACTGCATATCTGGTACATATATCCAAATTCCTTATATAATAATGTTCCTTCAATTAAAAAGGGAAAACTCATTTACGAAGTAATCTCTGATTTATGTGTGCAAGCAGGCGCGCATGATCATCAACTAAAGAGGAAGGTTTCGGTTATTGGTTCAGAGCCTCCTGCGTGTGGAAACAAATGCCTGAATTGCAAGCCTTGCCTTCCTTATCTAGTACTTGACATTCATGGTGCTCATGATGATGATGATGATAGTGAACCATACTATCCTGTAAGGTGGATGTGTAGATGTCGAGAAAAGATATTTGGACCTCAAGATTAGTATCTATCTATACATATATATATTTATTATTTATTCAGTGCTTGTGTTGATTATCATGGATGTCATGAATCATGATGGTTCACCGTTAATTCGCGATTAAACAATCTTATAATATGTAAAAAAATTCCTCGTCCCAAACTTGCATGTGTTTCTAGTAATGAAAAAAATGATTGTGGTGATGTGTTTGTCGGCATCTATCTGTATCCATGCATGTTGAATGAAGCACCATTCACAACTTCACATACGTGATAATTTTGGGACTGAATTTAAATGGGATGAAGAGCAGCCATAGTATCCAGACTCCAGAAACAAAGACCTTTTTCTCAAGTACAAACCATATGTTTTAGTTACGGGTCTACTTACTAAGAAAGAAACCCTCGAATACTTTATTACTGCAAACATGTAATCCACAAAAAAATAGTGTCTCCGCGAGTTGATGAAAGCGTGATAATGATGATGAGTGTGAAGCATTCAGATCTCTCGTCTCTCACCGCTTGCCGTATTTAACGTCTCAACTCTCTCATTTTATTTTATTTTGTCACTGGAATACTTTAATAAAAACAAAGAAGGAGAATGGGTCCAAAGGCACATCTCAAGAGTTACTTGAAGAGTCCCTTTAGCAAGCCCATCGGCAATTGAGTTTTCAGGTGGTGTTGGTGTTGGTATGGGTAGCAGCAGCGGCAAGATCTGTAACGGCAGAGATGACGGTGGAAGCGGTGTTGACTGCGGTGGAAATGAGGACGCCACCGATGTGTACCACCGGGACATGATCAACTTGACACCTGGAAATCCCCTTTTGACTGGAAACTACGCCAAATTTTTGAAAGAGGTACATAAATAATTTGAGTAGATATTTGGAAAACATAAACAAAAAAAAAGAACAAAAAAAATCCTAGCCGTTTTTGAATGTTTCTTTTATAAAGGATATTTTATACAGAGGATATTGTAGTAGAAGATATCCACGTAAAAGGTTTGTGTTGCATGGATATTTGAATATGAAAGGTAAGTGGAGACATGAAGAAAGCAGAGAAGAGTATTGGGAAAGAGCAATTTTGGGGAACACCGACGACGGAAATGTTCTCTCGCTGTACGCCGATCTCATTTTGCAAAACCACGGCGATCATAAAAGAGCGCACTCCTATTTCCGACAAGCTCCCCAAATGTCCCCGCAACATTGGTATATTTTCTTCCAAGATCTACCTTATGTAACACTTGTAAGGATACTTACTTTATGATATAAAATATATAATGATGCAGCTATGTGCAACCTTCACGCGCAAGGTTTCTGTGGGACGTGGAGGATGAAGAATACGAAGAAGAAGAAAAAGAGCAATGGAGTGATGAAACTGGCCACATGCCTCCAACTACCATCTTCCATGATTTTCCCAAGCATGCTCGTATTTCCACAACATCCTAAAGCACACATGTACACCTTCCCATGTACTAGTATCTAAATAAAAAATATAGTATATATGCATGTTTAATACACATATGCGAATGCAATATGCCTGTATAATATACATGTTACATTAAATTTTATATGGTTCTTCTGCCTCTGACAACTTACACATACGCTATATTCAAACTGAGCCAGACAATTAGATTTATCAAGTACATGAAGGAACTGACATAACATCGATTTTGATGAGATCACCAAAGTGTACATATATTTTGGAGCAAAACCTTGATTACATACTGATCTGGAGTTGGACTATTAAATACTTGGGCCTCAACAAAGCATATTCATAGTCGAAGCAGTCACGTTACGGCCCTGTGAACACAGATCCACATGTTCATTTTTTACTTCAAAGAACCCAGCTTGTCAGGTAAGCTTTACTGCAATCTCAAGTCACCTTTTCCTTTATGTTTTTGTCAACAATTTTCTTTCTAATTAAACCCAAGAGGATTACTTACGTCATATCTGACACAGTACAACACTATTAGTAGTACAGGTTATCCCTAATTCCCACAGATTTGGAGTGATAAAAGAGGTTGAACCGTCCTATGGACCTATATCACTGGAAAGAGAAAGTAGATGAGGTAATAGCTTTTTGTGTTTCAAAAAAAAAAAAAAAAGATGAGGTAATAGCTTCATATTTTGTTTGACTAAATGCGAATTTTGAACTCGTTCGAGATACACGACTCTTATCTTTTTGCCTAACTCACCAACAAAAGGAAAGTTTATTTTGCCTTATTATCTACAACTAATCTCTGTCTTACAAGTTTTTTTTTTTTCTTTCTTCAAATAAATAAACAGCTGTGATTGAGTAATTCAAATCAAATCACAGCCAAAAAGGGACAGAGTGAGAAAATATTTGTCCAAATCGTTACACTTTCAAGCCGACAAAAACTCACAAACAAGTCAATAATAATTATTAAATACTACTACTTATTTCCTTTCCACGCGGAAGGGAGTGGAGGGACGAAGAAATCAAAGATCTAGTGCGGAAGGGTGCACCTGTAGTTCACCAACGTCAACGTAATCGTCACCGTAGATCTGATCAAGCACAAGGACCAATCCCATGGCAAAGGCTCCATCGAACCCGGCCTTCACGTTCAACGAGAAAACGTCTTTCCCAAGCATCACGTTCGTTGACGCATCCACTTTACGACGTATCTCCGCCACCTTCCGCCTCGTCTCCGCCTCCACCACCGTGCAGCTTCTCTGCCCGAAATTACCTTCGATCAAGTACTCGCTGCACTCGTAATCCGCGTAAACCTCCACCGTAACGCTGTTCCTCCCGATTATCGAGGATCTCCTCACACCGAAGATTGGTTTCTGACCGTCTGTTCTCTCCCCGAGATACCCCTCCCATCTCCGTCGCAAACTCGGCCTCTGTTTTAGAAGAAGAAAAAAACAGAGTTAGTTATATAACTGTCCGAGTTGACTGGTTTTTAATTTCGAACAGATTCAGAATATATATACCTTTCGTCGGAGGGTGAGGAGACAGCGACCATGGGCGTCCATGAGGACAAGCTCGTCTGTGTCGCGGTTGTTGGGACCACCGTAAGAGTCCACGCGAAAGACCAAACAGCCCTTGCAGTCGTAAACCGTGAAACCATCTCCGGAGAAAAAGAGGGAAGTTTTCCGAACTGTCAGCTTCTTCTCTTCTCCGTGAATAAATTCATCGTTCACAAGCATCCCTCCTTTCATTTTTTCTGATCGATCCAACTGAGATTAGTCTCGGGTTTTTGCTTGTAAGCTCTTGGTTAGCTAGAGGTAACGAGGACGAGTTTACTTATTAGTTATTAGAGAGGGAAGTGAAGGTTGGGGAAAAGGAAGACAAGGAGTGCAAGATTTATAAGGGGAACCCGACACAGAGAGCAAGAATCTCTTTGAGTTTTTTTTTACGGTTTGTCCATACCGTTAAACTGACACGTGGTGTGCTGACTAGTCGCTTGAACTCTGTATCGAGTATGTTTAAGTTTTATCGTCAAATGTACTATCCATCCATCGCACATTTAAATGTTAGATACAATCAAATACTGTTAGAAACGTAAAAGATTCTGATGAATTCGTACTAATTAAAATAACAATAATTTTTGTTACTAATCTCTGTTACCTTCTACGTTCATTTTGAAGTTCGTTTCTTTTAATTAGTGGCCTAGTGGGTGAAGCAATTTTATGGATTATAGTTTCTATAAGGTAACTATAAAATATACGTAGGCTGGTGATTGATATCCGTATATTTTAGCAAACATAGCTATGAGCTATGACTAAGAGAAACTAAATTGTTTTTTTTTTTTGAAACACTAATTGTTTTTTGTTTTTTTGTTTTTTTTGAAACACAAATTCACTTTCATTAAAACTCAAACTTCTTCCATACAATAGAAAGAGGGAATTATCCATCCTCTTTGTCCATAAGCATAAAATGCAACATATAAATAAGCTAAACGAGATAAGTCTTCAATCGAAGATGACAGCGAATTCGAGACGATGCTTGAATGCGTCCGGAAAGCTTTCACGACAAAGTCGTACAGCTGAGAGATAGTCACAAGTGACGTTGAGAGACAGTCCTCACCAACGAGAGAAACCGAAGTAGTCTCGATTACACCTTCAGGCCCCGTACAGACCGCTCCACAAGGCAATAAACCGGTGAGTAAACTGAAGCTAAAGCTCGAAAAAGAGTTCGAGAAATTTTCTCCATTCATAGAAAAGAGATATGGTAGTAACTTAGTCTCCACAACAAAGGAGGAGATGAGAGTTGTGTTCCGACAATATAATCTTACTAGTTTCGGGTGGTTCAAACCTGAACGCCGGAGTGGACTCCCACCTACATCGGATATCAGATTCACAAACAGATGGCTGAAAGCTGGACGCCGGAGTGGATTCCCACCTACATCGGACATCAAACTCACAAACAGATAAAGGCATGATTGTAAGGTTGTCAAGGTTGGTGTAAGTTTGCCGAACAAACTTGGATCTGGTCGGAGGATGCTACGGATCTGGTACCGGAAATGGAGGGGAGCAAAACTCGAGAAGATTTTGGGCTCAGCTCTAACTTGTAGAAGAAAGAGAGAGCTCAAGTGATAAACATTATGCTCCATAGCAGATTGACAAGCTTTGACAGAGCCATCCGTATGACTTGTCCGTCGGCGGTAATACATGAGTTCAACGGAGATTATCTCCGATGAACAAAGCAGAGCGGCGGTGGGAGAGTCCTCCCGACTCATCGCTGGTGGACCGAACAGCGGATAGGGAAGAGATGCCGAGAAGACGAGAACGGAGCACCAGATCGATGATTCTCGTCGAGTGCTTCGTCGGGATCTCCTTCCTTCACAGAGAAAACACGAACAGAAACAAAAAACAAGCAGTAATGTAAAGAGCAGAGAACAGAGAAGAGTTGGTGGCCAGCGCCGGCGATAAAGAGCCTCACCGGCGCCGGAGATCTTGAATTGAAAGGTCTCCTCGATGTTCGTGTTTGAGAGAGCGGCTAGGGCGAACTCTTACACGAAGCTTCCTATTAATTGTTTTTTGTTTAGTTATTAGTTTTTGCATGTATACGTGTGTAAGTACTTTTTCAAGATGCTTGTTGGACTGTCTTTCGGCAAACATTTTATAACCTTGCCTTTCCAGTCACTGCTTCTCCTTCTCTCCTTTTTCCCGATTCTAGCAATATTCCGACATATTGTATTTAAGGATTATACAATCAGTACAGATGTTGCTCAAAAAAAAAAAACAATCAGTACAGATCAAAAGGATACTTTTTTCTTCTATATTTTAAAGGTACGAATTATTGGACCCCTCTATGATTAGTTAACTACACAAATCATATAAATCTCGTTTTATAACATTTTATCATTAGAATAACCTAGTATAGCTAAACTTTGGTGGTTTGGAAAAAGTGGAGTCATGGAACGCATCTCAACTTTTATAAGTTGCTAAAGCTTACAGCCTTACAAAATCTTCCTCTCAGATATGGTCGTCGATATTTCTGTATACAAGCTATTATTTTATTTCTATATAATATTTGAACCTTACATCAAGGTCCATGACCAGCTAACTAGCTAGTCAATAGTATAGTTCTACAAACTTCTTAAAATATTGGTCTTGAACCGGAAACAAATTTAAACTGTGTAACATGTGGGTTTTCCGATTGTCGACCAATTATTATACACATACTTGAGGTCGATAAGTATCATGCTTGTGTGTATATATTAAAATAAAATACTCGTGGGTACATCTATCTACATGCATGATTTTATATATAGATCCCATCAAGTGGGTCGCATGGGAGAAAAAGATTCCCACTACATATTTCTAACTATCTCATAAAATATTATAAACTGGCATAATTATCCCTGGTATGACAACGTTTATTGAAAAAATCTTATAGCAAAATCATGTGTTACGAAGAACTTGTAAACTGTATGATCATTTGACCATAACGAGCATAGGAGCTTTCAGATGAGCATTTATATATAATATATTACGTTTTCGTTAGTATACTCTGTATATTTTTGGTCCAATGCTAAATATATATTTTATATTTCTTTTTCTTTCAACATTCTACTTTTAATTGTCAATTGGCTTGCACCGACAAAAAGGTCAGATGTGTATAGCAACTACATATGTTTCTCAAAATAATTTCATTTTTTGATAGAAACTTCCACGGCTAAAAATAAAAACGCGTTGTTATAATGATCATACAATTAAACTGTAAAGGGTGGTAAAGTAGGATATCATTTCGGTGTGGTATCATTGTTTGGTACACCTAACAAGCGAGGAGATCACTTTCGGAAACATTAGTTATGTAATTACCTATTTTGAGAAAATAAAGTAGATACATGGATTAGTTACAAAAGAGGCTTGGATATTTTTCTAGATATTTTGTTTTGTTGGCTTAGGGATATTTGGTCTAAATATCTAATTAGGCCAAAACTATATATGTAAATCGGATTCAGGGTTGCTTCAACAGATAAGTATCTAATGTTAGCTAGTTATAAAGGTACACAAGTAGTCCAACACTCGATATGGACCCGATTTGACTAAAAAGAAAGAAAAAAGGGCACGAAACATAATGGAAACACGTTTTGTAACCTCCAACACTCTGATAAAAAAATATTTAATGCATGTGCACACAACTTTCTCGAATTAGATCCGTGTACTAACAATACTCCTACACATCAGTCGTCAGACTCACAGACGTGATGCTAAGTGCCTAGTGATTTCATATACCCAAATCACGATCATGGAATCATGGTTGTGGATTCCAAAAGTAGATTGTAAGCTGACTGAGTGACAGTTCATATAATAATATGGTTTTCAATACAGAATGTGGGCAAAAGTATCTTTTAGTTTCTTTTTTAGTAAAAAACACTTATTGCATTAACATCATCCTCTGAAAGGAACAAAATAAATGAGAGAAGGCACCAAGAGGTGTAATTGTCGAATAAGAAATACTAAGTAGAGAGGTTAGATATTATATAGTCGAAGGCGGATTACGTTGCTCCCTTGATAGTGGGTCAAGACAACAGCTTACGATGTTCTTAATTTTGGATATGATCGTTGATGGTGGCCTTGAGAGGTTGAAGCATGAACCCGATCATCTGTTAATTCCAAATAAACATAGATTGACGTCTGGAAAGCAAATTTATGAAAGAGAGCGATATTGTTGTTGGAGGTCAGAATTGTCCCAGCTGTACCTCTTACCGGCATCACTTCTCAGCTCAGCACGCTGGCCTTTCTCTTCATCGCCTAGAAATTGAGTTTTCATCCTATCGGTGTTGTAGTAAGGTGTAGCTAGGTAGGTAGGTCCGGGGAGATTTAATTTGATTCCAATGGTTTCTGCTTCACCAGGTTCTTGTGAAGGAACTAGAACACGAGAATGATTTATGTTCTGCTATGACAAGCTTATGCTCGGAGAAAGAACCTGAAGAATTGGCCGCCATTAACGAGACTCATGCTGGTGGAAGAGGGTCACTAGGAACAACCTCGAGAGGTCGCTCAGTACTCGCGCTGCCACTGCCAGGGAGAGGCTGAGCGATGCCTTTCGCAACTAACTCTTGCAACTTCCCTTCTTTTCTTTTCGAAAAGTTACATGAACAATATTTCTGACTACATTCCTATCTTTTTTTTCTCAGCCTTTGCAGTTAGAACTTTCTTTTTAGTGTTGTTACTTTACAAAAAGTCTGAGAAAAGCGAGCAACAATGTCTAAGACAAAGATGAAATGGACAAGAAAATTAGCAAAGATGAATCAGTGATCATCAGGCATCCCTCTTTCTATGAATCCGAATCGCCGTTCATAAAACAACAATCGGTTGTCCAACTGTAAAGAATCGTGATATCTCATGTTACAGGTTCATGGATAAAAAACTAAAAGAATATTATAAAGTTTTATTTATCAATAATAAATATTATAAAGTTTTATAAATGGGAGTATATATATTTACAGAGCCCACGTAATTTTACAAATTTATGAACTTTTAAAATATAAAATGATCAATCTCTCTATAACATTTAAGAGTAGCTTTTGTTTTTTATATTTTAGTTTTCAAAACTTTTGGTCTTTCACTTGTTGTAAATTTTCAGTTATACAAAAAGTGGTGATTTATTTTAAACATAATATAACAAATTTGCTAATAAAGAAGCTAAGGTTTTGCATTATCAAACTTCACACACTTTGGGATTAACATGTTGAGGGGGGGAGGTATAACAAAGAATAGTGGAATTCATTAATTCATTCACAGACGACAATTTCAATATCTCACAACGGACGCATGCATGCATCACTAACAAATACAGTAATGTAGTAGAAGAAGATCAGTTTCGTGTGAGAGCATCTACGCGAGCCGCAACCTCATCAAAATCTGGGACGTTGTTTGAGGGCTTAGGCTGCCACGAAGCTGTTCGACGACTCGTCCTTCTTACCCCATCTCCACTTGCTTTCTCCTTTGACTCTGACCTCATGTCCTTACTACTACTACTAACCGAATCTTCACCTGCAGGCGGATTCGCTAAACTTCTTCTCACTGATCTCGGCTTTGGTCTCCCCACACTAGGAGAGTAGTCTGTATTTGAGATACCAAAGCTTATATTATTACTATCAATGATATATAGTGCTCTGCTTGCAAAATAGCTACTATTCTCTCTCTCTCTCTCTCTCTCTTATGTTTGTTGTTTTACTCACCAGTCTGGTCGGGCATGAGATCAGACTTGGTCATCTTCTCCGAAAAGCTTTCCTGTTTCTCGATTTTGGGTTTGTTGTTGTAAGGCGCATGCATGATGAATCCGTAGTAGAAAGGTTTGATTTCTGGATCATTCTCCTTCTCCTCCTCAGGGCCAGAGACACAACTCTCGTTTGTAGTAGTCATTGAATCGTCTTCGCTTCTTTTACTCATGGACTTGTTACTGTCGTCATCCAAGGAGTCTTTTCTGCTTATGGTTTCAGTCCTCTTTCCAGGATTATTTTGCTTTGTTTTTGTTTTTTGCGGCTCTTCAACAGCAGGTGATGTGTAGAGCCTCTGCTCTAAAGACTTGGCGTCCCATTTAATGGAGTACTCTCTGGCAATCTCCTGGAGCAGCTCTACCTTCATTTCCTTTGTCGGGGGCTCCGCTTTGAAACTCCCTATAAACTGCAAAACAGATTCCGATGAGAGTCACACAGCCACAAAATAGTGGTTGGCAGCGTAGAGTAGAGAATTTATATTTATATACCTCAGGGTTCACAAACTGTTCAAATGAATTAGTCTCGTATCTGTCTGCAAACAAAGTCCTGAGATCGCGTAGCTCAGGCACTTCAGGGACTCTAGCGGCCGCATACACAAGTGAGGAGATGGCCTCGCGACACTCCTCAGGGCATTTACTGTAGCACCAGTAATTTTTTTATTTTATTACATGGATGATGATATGAATCCCAATTCCAAAAGAAATTGAAGGTTATTTTACCTGGATTTCTGTAAGAGAGATACATTGGATGAAACACAGACGCAGAATTGCTCCAAAAACTCATAACATGACAACCTCCTTTTCTCCTCAATAAGCCCTTCTGCCTGTCACACACATATGACATCAAGTGCATGCATATCTATCTACTCATGTGCACGCCACAATACAACAACAAAAAAGAAGAATGATTTCTCTGGGGTTGCTTGAGAAACAATCCACTGTGTTATTATAACCAGCTGGTGACAGCACTAAAATGAAATATGTTTCTTTTTTGTTTCTTCCATTGTATCTACCTATGTATCCAGAATAGAAGGATTTCATGAAAACATCGTTGACCCTCTTATTTGTTTTTGTTTTTTTTTTTAATTGTTCAATTTTTAAGATACGTAGTTTGTGAGGGGGTGTTCGGTGCTGTCACGTTCGGAGAACCAATCAGATTCTTACGCAACCCATTAAACGATAAAGGGAATTATTCAGGATTACATGTTGGTTGATTAGCAAAAACAGTAGATAAACTAATCAATAAGAAAATTACCCTGCCGTATGCATTGTAATCGAGTCTGTTCTTGAGAAGATCGACAATGTCGTTCTTCAAATATTTGCATACAGAGTTTTTCTTTCTCTTCACCGTCTCCACTCTTGTTTTCGTTCTCTTAACAAAGTACTTGCTGAGGAATTTAAATTGATTGATGAATGGGATCGACACATACGAAAAGATGAACAACGGAACACAAGAAAAGAAAAGACTTACCATTTCGTATAAAATTTGGGTTTAAACAGACCATCAAACATTTTGCCTGTTGAAAATTGAGAGGGATAGATGCGATTCTTCTTGTTGGTTTTTCTTTTTATTTCTCGTTTTGTCTTTTTTTGTTCTCTCTCTTTCGTGCAAGAGAAAGAGAGAGGTAGAGAAAAGAAATCTTGACCTGTTGGGAAAGATGGCGTTTTCAGGGAAGGAAGTAAGGCTTTTATATATAAAGAAAAATGAGGAGAGAGAGGCAGAGATAAGAATGAAAAAGAAAGACTTTCTTTTGGCTGGGTCTAACATGAGATCTCAAGAAACGGAACTTGTTTTTCGCAAGAAAAACCAAGAAGCTGATTAGATCTATGAGGCTGTTAAATCAATGGGAAAAATTGCGCGCGCTTCGGAGAGCGTAAAATTACTAAAACAGGCCTAGTGGAGTTTCTAAGAGTAGGCAGCTGACCAGGGTGAGTTTGGGAAATTTAACACTCAATCCCCGCTATTTGTTTATGGTGCTGCCTACTTCAATTATACGTCCAAGCCAGCAATCACAAATCCAATTTATGGCCACTCTCTATCAGCATCTCTCCCAGAATTATATCGACGCTTCAAATATTTGATCACCCGGTGGCTTGTCAGTTGACAAAAAGAGAGCAGAAAGAGGTCTTTCTCAACTCAAGGGTCGTATTTTTAATCCATCAGCCTGAACCTTGTGATGCATTTTGAGAGATCCAATCGTCGAACCCTTATCATTGGACATGCTTTTGTTGCATATAGAGGTTATGGATCAATTGGAAATAAGATAAGTTCGAGTACGCAGAGGAAGGTAGAGACAGAGAAAGCCAAGAAACAAAAACAAGTTACACAAGAACAAAAAGCAACATGAACTTGAACTAGCCAACTTTTTTTTTTTTGGTAATCATATGTAATCAACTTTGTTCGTAACTTTTAATATCCTTGTTCATTGTTTGTATACTGTCTGAAACTGATCAATAAAAGGTCAATGCTTTGTATTATCTTTGGCAGGCAGTAGGCACAGTGTCGCTTTGTGTCTTATATTGCTGTCAATTTAAACAAGGAATAAACGATGCCGTTTTACATAAAATGATCAGCCTGAGACATTTTTCAAAGCAACGGCTAATTTGTTAGCAACTAAAAGGGATTGAAAAATATAACTGAAAATCGGATCCTTGAAGATCTTCTCTTTTTCTTTAACAACCTTGAAGATCTTCTCTATAACGTCTCTTCCTTCTCTTTCAAAATTTGAATCATTCTTATTTCTGATCGTTGAGAAACCGCAGAAATAGAAAATAAATAGTACGACAAGAAAATAGGAGAGAGAAAGAAAATGGCGAAGTTGATTGATTGAGAGAAGAACCGTTTCTAGCGAACCAAGACTTGTTTGGGTAAATAATCTTTCTTCTTTTCTCATAATTCTTATTGTTTCTTAACTCTCCGCCATTGTTGAATTCTATTTCGTATCTCTCGCACAGTTATTCTTCCTAGAGAACAGACACGACGACTGCGCTTTTACAAAAAGTAATCTCTTTTTTAAGAATATATTTCCTTTCACCTTGACTCATCGCTACTTGATACTGAATGCACTCCTACAAAGTTGTGGCTTTATATGTTTGGAGTGGTGCTTGATACTGAATGCACTCCTACAAAGTTCTGGTCGGAGCTGCATTATAACTCTTTATACAACAATCAAGGTTTGTCTTGTGCCTACAAAGTGTAACAAAATGGTTGCTTAATTTGTGCTTGAGGACACTGATTATGATCTTCTTTCTGAGTGCAGCCGTTCCAGTTCAGCAGAAGCGAAAGAGAAAACACTGGTTGTTCTAGAATCAAGCCTCTCACATGGACAACATCTTCGTATTATTTTCAATCAGTATTGTTCATAAGGATGCCGTAACTCTTCCTTCATACGTGTATACACACAAACTAGTTTGAGCTATAATATTTTTAAGCCAAACAGAATATTACCCAACTTGATATATATATATATATATATATATATTTTAGTCTTGGTACAAATTTGTATTTCTGAAGCGTAAACAAATACTTATCAACCACAAGTCAACAGTGGACGCTTAAAAGAAATTTAGGTCAGTATTAGGGCGATTTGCTGGCTCATTTTGTTAGGTGTGAGGTCACAACGTAACAGCTGCATAAACAGACGCTAAAACCCATATCCAGATAAGCCTTCAATATCAAGTTTCATTACAGAACATCACCGCTTCCTAAATCGACAAACAAGCAAACAAGAAAAAACACAAGCAAAGAGAAAATGATATGTGTATTTTGATATGCTTGTGTGGCTGGTTAACTCTTCGAGGACGAAATGGTAGTAAATAAAGGAGCTCGCCTTTACAGAGAAACCGAGAGACGTTGAAGACCAAGTGAAAGGGCCGTGGATTTTTTATAAACCACACTTGAGGCTCATTTTTAACCTAAAGCTTGTTTGACGTGGCCAAATAACTCTTCTTCGTTGGTCGATTTTCTTACAATGCGACGATAATAACTTTGAGAGAGAGAGAGAGGATAAACCTTTTCTTAAACCGGAGTAACACATTCCCTAGCAAGTAATCTCCTCACTTCCCATATCCACCGTTGGATTCGAAGTTCATGATCTAAGGGTTTAAAATCCAAACCGCCTCAAAATTTGACCGTTTAAATTTTTTTTTTTTTTATTTGCCTTCCTCTCCTCTCATCTCATTCCCGTAAGAAATTATCTCCCTCTATCGCTTTCTCCTTCTTCTTCTTCTCTCAGATTGATGATTCACCACAGCGAATAATCAAAAACGGAAAGAAGTTTCAAAAATAGTGAAAGGGAACGATCATGGCGGCGAGAGAAGCCCAAGTTACAGGTTTTACTCCATATCTTTTTTAACCCTAGGGTTTAGAGATTGATTTCGAGGCTCTTATTTAAGGTTTTGATCGGTAATTTCAGAGATAATTCCGTCCATGTCAAGATTCGTCGCACTCTTTGGGATATCGGAAACCTCACTTCTCTTCCCGGAGTTGAAGGAGGAAAGATCCGTAAAAACGTTTCAGATAAAAGGTTTGTTTTCTTTATTTGTTGCAAATCTTGTTTTCACTTTTGAGAGTGCATATGATCGTTGAATCTGACTCTGTTTTGTGGGTCTCTCTTCCTTACCAAATCAGCAAATCAATCTAGACAAAAGCTTCGGTTCTTGATGGTGCTCTTGTACCCACGATTTGCTGATAATTAAGGATTGTTTAATTTTTTGGCGAATATAAGTGGTTGATTGCCTTTACGTAAACCAGAGTTGCTCGTTCAAATTCGCGTATGTTTTCTTGCTCTTTTTAAATCGACATTTTTAGGGTTTTTTTATTGGGTTTCTTACGTGTGGAGTTGTTCAGTTTCCAGATTCGTAGAAATTTCTTATTAAGTATATTAGAGGTGTTCATTTCTTGGTTTTCGTAAAACAACAATATTTTTGGGGTTTTTGTTTTGGGTTTGTTAGGTATGTGTGCGTAGGTATAAAATTAATAAACTATATAGAAAACGTATGTAAGATACATTTGTATAGGAAAGAGGTGTCTGTTGCAATCGAAGCAAAATGGTCTTGTGACGTAAGAGAAAGAAAACCTATAGAGCATGTTTGTTAACTTTTTTTCTACAAAACAATGCTAGAGATGAATTTACATATTTCGTATTAACAAACAATTGTGTCCTTTTTTTGAATCTAGCCCTAAATTATCTTTCTCACCAACTTTATTGAAATTCTTTAATTATATTTGATAAACACAGGTTTAAGTTTTAAATTTAATCATTAGTGTGTGTCTAAAATCCAGCTTATATGGGCCTTATTACTTTGATTAACTCGTGTGAGTTTAAAATCCAATTTATTTGATTACTTTTTTATGGGCCTTCAAAGTTTAAGATTTACCTAATGGGTATTGTCAAGCGTTGGCGTTTAGGGTCTAGGGTTTAGGGTCTAGGGTCTAGGGTCTAGGGTCTAGGGTCTAGGGTCTAGGGTCTAGGGTCTAGGGTCTAGGGTCTAGGGTTTTAGGGTTTTAGGGTTTTAGGGTTTAAGGGTTTTAGGGTTTTAGGGTTTAAGGGTTTAAGGGTTTAAGGGTTTAAGGGTTTAAGGGTTTAAGGGTTTAAGGGTTTAAGGGTTTAAGGGTTTAAGGGTTAAGGGTTAAGGGTTAAGGGTTAAGGGTTAAGGGTTAAGGGTTAAGGGTTAAGGGTTAAGGGTTAAGGGTTAAGGGTTTAGGGTTAAGGGTTTAGGGTTAAGGGTTTAGGGTTTAGGGTTTAGGGTTAAGGGTTAAGGGTTAAGGGTTTAGGGTTAAGGGTTTAGGGTTAAGGGTTTAGGGTTTAGGGTTTAGGGTTTAGGGTTTAGGGTTTAGGGTTTAGGGTTTAGGGTT